TCTAATCCAGACAGGGCACGCTTGACTCTGGTATAAGAACTAAAAGAATGTGTTAACAAACAGTACAAGCCATCTATACAGCTCCATTTAAATTTTTACAGAATAACACTACAAATACCTGACATGCCTATAGTGTTTTATACTTTTAAAAGTACTTTCCTATCCATTAACTTATTTGATCTTCACAAAGGCCATATAAGGCATACAGAGAAAGTCCTATCACCATTTTACAGAGAAGGAAACTGAGACTTACAGAAATTTATGTGATGTCCCCTAAGTCAGGACTTGATATGGCAGATTCAGTCTGACCAACTAATTATACAGTGGGACTATTAACTACCTTATTATCAACAACATATTTTTATTCATGAAGCCCAAGATTTCATTAGATTTATTGAACTTGCAGTCAAATAAAAGTCTAGCAACATATACAGACGTAACAGAGTTAGCAGACTCTGAACCTAGCTTTTTTGACTCCTACTCTGGTGTTCTTACTACTTCTAAGCTATTTTTAAGATCAGAGTTAGTTTCTAAGACTTGTAACTTTAGGACTTTCCACCTTTTGCTTGTTATTTTAAGCTCTTGTCTGTTTTCCTGTAGTTGCTAGAAATAAAAAATAAAATAAAATAAAATAAAATAAATATCATTTTAAACCTAAGAAAAAGCTGTGTGTTGGTTTCACAGCCCAGTTGGAAACCTGTACCCTTTGCTGCAGAGAAATCTAGGTGAGAGGGGTCCAGGAGAAAGAAAAGGCAAGGACATAATCAGTGAACATGTGTGTATTGGGTTCATCCAGAGAATCATGGTATGAAGCAGAACAAGCTCTAGGCTCATAAGGGGAAGGAAGTGAGGACAGGGATCTACTAGAGACTTTAAAAATGTCTCAGGAAGTCCGAGACCAGAAGGAAGGCCCCATGTGACTCCACAGGCTGGCTGACCATCTGTTACACATGTTGGAGAAGGGATGCCTGCACGGAGTCAGAGATCAAGCTACATTATAACAAAGGTTTCCATTCAGATGGTTCTTTCTAAACTGCTCTCCCCACACCAACTCTGTCAGTCAGTCAGTCAGTCTCCAAGCATTTATTAATCATTTTCTACATGTCAGGCACAAGTGCTAATAATACAAAGGCAAAAAGAGTCCTTGTCGTTAAGGACATATATTCTGATAGATAAGACAACATAGAAGTAATTAGGTATCTAGGAGATATAAACAGTAGATGGGAGGTCATCTGAGAGAGGGAAGCACTAGCCACTAGGAGGACAAAGAAAGAGCTCCTGTAGAAGGGGAAAGTTGAGCTGAATCCTGAAGGAAGCCAGGGACACTAAGAGGCACAGGTGAAAACAGGCAGTATGCCAGGTCTCAGAGACAGTGAGTGCAAAGATGGGGAGGGACAGGAGAACCATAAAGCAGGCTAATGTGGCTGGACTAGAGAGAATGGTAAATGGCAGTAAAGTATAAAAAGATTTGGAATAGTAGGAGAAGGGGCCAGGTTGTGAAGAGCTTTAAATACTTAAACAGAGGACTTTATATTTGATCCTGGAGGTAATAGAAAACTATTGGGAGTTTATTGGAGTTGAAGGGTGACATGGTCATCTGTATGCTGTTGGAAAATCTCACTGGCAGCTGGAGTGAAGATACATCAGGAACCACTTTAGGCTATTGTAATGATCCAGGCAGGAGACAATAAAGGCTTGAACTAAAGTGGTGGCAGTGTTAGTAATGAGAAGGGGTCAGATGCAAGAGATGATACAAGAGAAGAAACAAGATTTGGCAAACAGATTGGATATGTAGAGTGAGAGAGAATGAAGGATTTGGGATGACAACAAAGTTGTGAGCCTTCATGACTGGGAAGAACTGAGAGGTCAACAACGCAAGTATTACTAGCTTCATTTTATAGATGAGGAAACTGAGGCTTCCAGAGGTTGAGTGACCCATGGTTATGGGGGTGTGGGGAGCGGGATGACAACAAAATATCAATCAGAAGCAGGCTTTGAACAAAGGTCTCATTCCAAGTCTAGGGCTTCCCCCGTGGTACCAAGTTCTCAAAATGAACTCAGAAGTCCCTTCCTGCTTTTAAGACTTCTAGTGTTTTATTTGTGTGCTTTATATCTCCCAAATTTAATGAGATATAAGCTTCCAGAATTTTGCAGGGTCCTCGACACCCTGGCACAGTACTATGCAAAGAGCTCAACAAACACCTGATGAATAAAAACTATTTATGATAATAAAGATTTTATTAGGTTCATTGAGAATGGGGGCAAGGTATAACAATTGGTAAACTGAATTTTTTTCCTAAGGTGGAACTTTTTTTACACTCCCCTTCCCCCAATTTTCAATATGCATAGAACCTGCACACAAAATTTTTCCCTCCTTAGGTCTATGTCACTGTTTCTGACTTTATGAAGGAAGCTGAAATCCTTTGTGACCCCACAGTTTCATGACTATAATTATAATGCATTCCATATTTGCATATATAATATTGTTATCACTTGAACACGTTGCTGAGGAAAAAACCTGCCAAAACAGACCCCAAAATGTACTTAAGATCTAAGCCTCTTAAAAGTATGTTACAAAACTAAACACTGGGAACCACAGTTCTTTATTTAGATCATATATGCCCATTAAAAATCAATTTGCTCTTACCACTAAAGATCTTAAAAGAAATGTGTCCTTAAGCATTCTTTCAGGTGCTTCAATCCCCTCCCCCTCCATTTATGTATTTTTGTCCATACGGCCCATAAAAGTGTTTTAAAAAGTTCGAAGACCTATAGAAGTGATTAGATGGTATGTTTTTCTGTTTGGAGCTACTCTCGAGTAAGTTCAGAAAGATTTTTCAAATCCCCAGTAAACTATTTTAGGACTGCCCTCCCACCATTTACAACTGAATATTGAATCCCTCCTTCTTGAATCCTTCTAGTAATGATAATAAGAAGCTATCCTCACTAGTAACTTTGAAGTTTCACCTCTCCTTCTATCTCAGCATGCCCACTGCTCTCTTCTTGGCCTAATCCCTACAAGTATGTGCACACAGACACATAGATATATAGCTAAAACACAAATGTTCCCAGACTATTATGTTTAAAGGCACTATAGACACACATTTTCCTCAAATCACCTATGTCTCCCGCTGTAAGAAAAAAGCGTTCTCCATTGATAAAAGCTGAGTCCAAGAAGCACTAAACAAGGTTTGGCAGGCACAAAGGGGATAAGGAAAAGGCCCACCACTCTAGTAAAATAGCTTCTGCAAAGCTAAGCAGAATTGCAAGAAGCAGGTACAGCTGATACAAAGTTCCCATAGGATAAATCATCTTCACTGAGCTCAGTGAGCACAAGATTAAGGGCATGATTAAGATGATGATGATGTAAGAGTTTCGTCTTACACTTCCATGAGTTACAATTGTTTACTAACATGCAGAAGATACATGCATAAATTGGCTATAATGAATGGCTGGATTTTATCTTGGTATCTGGATTAACTATTTTAAAGCCTTCAAATAGCACATATGGGTATGGAAGTTAATATTTACCTTTAAATGTAAATAAATACTACTTGCAGGAGAGTTTTCATATTTTAAGTAAAAAAGAGAACTATGGCTGTGTAAAGTAGTTATCTTTAACACAGTTATTATAGTTGATTTAATACTCTGCCTTTTCAGGCACAGACCTAATGAACCACAGGCTCTTGGAGGCATCTGCCACCAAGTACTGGAGTTAAGAATAAACAAAGAATATAGTATTTCATCAAGTGAAGGTGCTCCTCAATTAAGTAAAATAAAGTTCATATAAAAAAATGAGAACTCTCTGCTCTGTATATAAATTCAAGTGACCACTATGTAGATGGGCAAAGAGTAATGGGGGATGGAAAACTGAGACTTTTAGGAGGTTGACAAGTATACCCTACACCTGAATACTGAAAACCTTGGGAACTTAAAAATAAACACTGAGACCAACTAGAGACTGTCAACTTTAAAGTTAAAAGAGGAAACAGCAAGGAGGAAAAAGTGTGTGAACAAATTTTTTTGACAACTTCAGCTAAATAATATTCTCTGGGTTTGCTCCTGTAGGAAACTTAGACACTTTCTCAGCTGTGTCTCTGTGGGTGCATACACACACATGCATATACACATACATATATAAATTTTATATATACATGTCTATATAAACAGCAGTGTATGTTTACACACATGTATGCACATGCAGATGTGAATGTACAGGCATGCATATGTACATTCATACACATTACTCAAGTTCTGGAATAGAACTTCGGTTTTGAAAGGAAATGCTACACTTCATAAATAATTATATGTTGAAGATATGAGGAATAGTTGCATATACATGGGCTCTGTCTCCAGAACAAAATCATGAGTAGGCAGTGAGTTTTCAGGACTGACCCATCTGTGGTCCCTTGTGACTTTTGTTACACAGTACCTAAAATAGCTTGATAACACAGCAACAGTTTTTTTCCCTTAAGGGGCAGGGGTCTCTTTCCAAAGCATACACTAACAGAAGCTAGGGAGTGTAATACTGAGCACCTTTGGAGTAAAGGTGCACTGTCCCTGGCTGGGGTGGTGGGGAGAAGAGGAAGAGAAAGGAAAGGAGAAAGAGGAAAAGATAGCATATCTGCCCAAGGACCCTTATTTCACAGAGAAGGAAATTTTACTATGGAAGGAAGAAAAGCGAAAGGTCATCGAGGTACTAGTGCACATGCAGGTATAGCCTCATTTTCGGCCCCATGGTCCCTTAGTTCTCTGTTCTCCATGTTGCCCAGGTTGAGAGTGCTTGCAGCTCACAGACCATTCATTGACTGAGGGGAAAGGGGGTGGGGAGAGTAGACGCAGAAGATATTTGGGGATCGTGGAAATGCTATGAAGGACGGTGGGGGGGGGGGGGGGGGGAAGGGGAAAAGGTTATTAGTTACTGAGGTTAAGGTTTGGGGGGAGGAGCCCAAATAGGACACTTCAGAGGATAAAGGGAAGGAAAGGCAGTTCAGCCTTACCTTGCTGACAACATTTTGCACGAGACCGGCTCGGATGCGGTAGTGCCATTGGTGGCACTGGCAATTGCTGGAGTTGAGGTCTTCTCTATCCGGAGGGGGCTGCAGGGGCAGTGTGTAGTCCACCTCTGCTCCTCCCAGGCTACTAGTGCTCAGGTTGCTCACCGGTCTCCAGGTGGTCGTGGAGAAGGTTGCCGGAGTCCCAGTCCAGTTCCCAAAGTCGCCAATACCCATCCTGCCAGTGGCGGTGGCCCCCGCGAAACCAGCTCCTTCTTGGGGACCCCGGCACCAGAATTCCGGCTGGTCCAAGAGAAAAGAGTCCGAGAATTGGCTGAAGCCGATGAACAGAGCCGGGATCCAGGTGAGGATCACCAGCGTCTTCTGGTAGCCTCCGCCCAGCCCCCCGAGGAAGGGCAGCACCGACCCATCGTAGTCCAGCAGCAGGAGACTAGGTGCTGAGGACGAGGAGCAGCAGCTGGGCTGCGGGGCGCCTCCTGGGGCCCCGGGGGCCGGGAGAGGCGGCAGGGTCTGGATGTCCCCTACGTCGACAGGCGGACCTCCCAGGGGGGCTGCTGCAGCCGCAGCCTCCCCAGCCGGCAGGGAGCCGTTCTCCTCTGGAGGAGGCTGGTGGCGTCTCGGCCCGCCGCCTCCTCCCGCCTCACGTCGCCGGTCTATCGCCATCCTCGCGACCCGCCACACGGAGAGATGCACATAGAGAGAGGGGGAGGCGAGGCAGCCACCACCGGTGCCACTACTGCGGCGCCTCCTCCAGCGCCCTGCCTGCCCGGGCCAGAGGGCAATGCCAATTTGGGTTTAAAAAAAAATCTGTGGTGTTTTTAAAAAAAGATACCCCCACCTCCTCACGTCCCCTCTTCCTCGCTTTCTCTCTCCTCCTCCTTCTCTTTCTCCTCCCCGGGAATGAGTGCAGGATCGCAAAGCACACGGCCAGGCGGCCGCTGCGTCCCGGCGGTGGCGCTCCTAGCCCCAGGTCAGTCTATGCGTCAAGCCGTGCCTATGCCGCCCTGGGCCGGACACCCGCTGCCCTCTAGCTTCCCCTCTTTCCCCAGGGGCCGAAAGGGTTAGGAGCGAAGCCGCCGCCGGAGCTGCTGCCGCCGCTGCCGCTGCCGCTGCTACTCCTGCCTGTTCTTCGGCCCGGGCTGCAGCAGCTCCGCCACCCGCGGAGGACGGACGTGCCTCTCGCCCCGGCGGCGGGCTGGGGCTCCAGGGGGCGGGAGAGGCCGGCTCCTGGGAAACGGGACCACAGCCTGGCTCCCCCGGCTTCTTAGCCGCCGCCGCCACCGGCGCTGCCGCCGCCGCTGCAATCGCAGTGTCTGCGGGCCCGGCACATCGGCTTTTCCTGGCCGGGGAGTGCGGACGGGCGGCGAAAAGACTCTCCTCCCCCTCCTCCTCCTTCTCCTAGAGGAGCGGGGACCCGCGATCCGGAGGAGCCGAGCGAGGCTGCGGCAGCCAGGGAAGGAGGAGCCGAGCTCCGCTCCGCTCTGCAAGCGGGCAGCGCTGCGCCCTGAAGGAGCCGGCTCCCGAGTGCAGCCCGGGAGGGGGGAGGGGTGGTGACGGGGGAGGGGGCGGTGCGGGGCGGGGGAAGGACGAGGGAGGAGGGAGCCCGCGAGCTAGCTCCACTCCTTCCTTCTACTCCCCTCCCGTCTTTCTTGATTGAGCTCTGGACGCCTTCCGGAAGCGAGGAGCTTGGATCCTAACCTGCACAGCCGGCCAGGCTCCTTCCCTCCTACCCCCCACTCCGTAAGCTCCCGCCCCGGGACCGGGACTCGCGCCTCCTCCTCCTCCTCCCCTCCCTTCCCGAGGTGTAGGTACAACAGCGGAGACGGCGGTGACGGCGGCGGCGGCGGCCGCACCTGCTGCTCCCGGCTCCTGAGCGCCAGCGCCACCTCCAGTCCACCGTGCGCCTTCTGCGGGATTGGGGGGCAAGCGGAGGGAGGGAGACGGAAGAATGGGAAATAGAACACCCTGATTCTGCCAAATACAAGGAATTGAACAGTGCGGGCGCCCCCCCCCCCCCCCGCGAGCTGATACCTCCCTTTCGACTCAGAGAGGGTGCCAGCATTGGAGAGGAGACAGAAGCCAGATGAGAAAGGAGAGAGTGAATTAGGGGAAGGAGGAGAAGATCGGCTCCCGCCTCAAGGTCTGCCTTGCAGGGTTTTGTAGGACTCCGGCTGGGCAATTATGTGGGTGATTTGTGTGTCTTGGTTTCCCCATTCACCTCAAAATATGCCTGGGTCCTACTCCTTGCAGCTCTCCCCTTGACCTCTGCACAGCTCAAAGGTGTGTACTGACTTGCCTGAGTTCCTTCCTCTCCAGGAGCTACAGAAGCATGCTTCTGAGTTCCGAGAGGATGCTGTCTGCCTCCAGCCGGCCAGTTCTCCTGTTTTCCACTGAAAGGGTTTGTTTTTTGCAAGCCTAATGCCAGTCCATATATACCAAAAAGGGACAGAGGTGCATTTACCAAGTTCAGCGTCATCGCTGATCTGTGGCTACAACAAGCTAGGCAGGGGTGAATGTACTTCTTCAAATCTCCAGTCATGCCACACACACTACCATACACTGAAACTACCAACACTTCATCTCCCACCCCAAACAATGATAGTTTTAGGCTAATGTTTAAAGACTTCTTTTCATAAAATTTTAATTTTGTAATTTTTTTATGATTGCCTGCCAAATGGCTTAAAGTCCCTTTTCAGACTCAAGTTATGTATGTATTTATGCACGCATGCACAAGCTACCCTACACCCTTTTTTCCTTTCTCCCTTACAGTCCCCAGCCTCGAACAACACTGCATAGATATCAATTTTTTTGGCTAACAGTTCCATTAGCATTTTTTCTTACTGTCCTCAGAGCACAGCACAAATGGTAATTACGTAGGACCTTTCACCCAAGAATCCCTACATGCTGTTCAATTTTTACATTCTAAGTTTATTAGTGGGAAAATTTAGCTATATTTCAGTTTGGGATCAAAATTGTGAGATAAATATATTTTCTTTTTCACAAGCAATTCTGAATAGGGTTTAGAGTATCATAGGAACCTTAGAGATTCAATTTAATTCAACAAGCACTTATTAAGCACCTACTATGTGCAAACCACTGTTCTAGGGGAGGGATACAAAGAAAAAAAAGCAAACTGTCCCTGCCCTCAAGGAGCTTATGTTATTGAAAGAAATATAACAACTACCCTTAGAGTAAATGCAAAGAAATATGGATAGAAAAGAGTTTCAGCAAGGTCAGTCCCTTCATTTTACAGTTAAAGAAACTAAGCTATATCCCATCCCTTCACCATCACCTGGTCTATCCTGACCCTCCTCCCCTACCTGCAGGAGCAAGACCAGATCTTCCCTTGCGTAAGATCAAGTCAAGTAGTAAATAGCAGAATTAGAATTTGAACCCAAGTTTTATTGACTTTTAATATAGCACTCTCACCCTTGCATCAGTTGTCAAAAGGACATTTTTAAAAGCTGTGTACATTTTAAAATTGTAAGTTTATTTTATTATTTTCAGTACATTTGTACTGAAGATTCCTTACTGAAACATATCATTTCTTTGTTTTGGTGTATGGATATATTTGGTAAAAATGAAGTATTTCTGATGATGGCCTGTTGGGTTGGGGGAAGTCACAGGCTTCCCTGAATGTCTGGAAGGAAGAGATTAGATAAACAGGAGATGGCAGGAGCGCACAGGAGCTGAGAGAAAGTTCAGAGGCTGAGGAAGAACTCGCTAAGGCCTAAAGAAATGCAAAAACACTAGGGAAATGAGTATTGAAATTATATTTAAAGACATGTGTATGGTGATAATGGGCACTGTGCACAAGGCAGAGATGGTCTCTTCTCTGATAATTTTGAATAGCTTGACTTTTCAGCTGTGTCAGCACTTCAGTGTGTAAGCATTGTATTTGTCTTTGTAATTTTTTGAAAATTAATAGTTTTAAATAATTTCATGTACCTAAGTTTAGCTGACTAACTCTAGCAGGGTGAGTTGTACCTATCCTTTTTTCCTTTCCCCATAAAGTAATAAGTATCCTTAGATCTCTTCACAACCCCCTGGAACCTACTGTTAAGTCACAAACAGGTTGAGATCTTTATTGGAGGAAGGAGTTTCCAGTATTAGGAATATTGGGAGTACTTTGCCTGAAAAAATCTCAGATCAATTATATTTATTTATCTTCTCACAAAATAAATATTATAAAAGCTTAGCTTGTTATTCTAGAAGGTTTTGACTTATTTTAAATGACTAAAAGCTAAAATGCCATTTATTCCCAGGACTTTGAAAATAGCTTTTTTACATGTGGCAAAAAAAAAAAGTTGCTTTGTCAAGCACTTTGTGTACCAGCCAGCAAACTGTTTCTTTTGTTTAAAAAGAATACCAGTGAAAGCATATGGTGATACATTGAACCCATTTTCTTTCACTTTTGAAAATTGGAAAAAAAAAATATAATCCACTTCTAAGGTCTACAATTCCTATACTAAGTTTCAGAGTATTCATAGTTCTATTAAAGTTCATATTATGGAATTGAAGTTAGACTCAAAGGTGAATACTTCTTCAATACTCTAGGAATCTGTATTTTCATCTATGGGGTATTCTCTTTAGATAATACAAATCACGATTCCACTTTAACTCTAGTAGAAAGAGGTGGTATGGTTTGGCGGGAAGAGCAGTGATTAAGAAGTCAGAGGAGGATCTGTTTCCTCATGTTTGAAATAAAGAAGTTGAATTAGATGACCTCTGAGGTCTCTTTCAGTTTCTAAATCTATGATCCTATGGTTTAAAAAAAATCACCATCCTGCCATCAACCTGATGATCAACCTTCCTGAACTGAGCTAAGGATAGTCCTCATGACAAGTATACACCTGGCACCTGGCTAGACTCAAATCCTTTCCAATTTGACAGAACCTGCCAGAACTTGCATTCCGTGTGGCATAAAGCTGGAGAACTTAGAATAACCTTCATACCACATGATAGTGAGACATCAGAATAGGACCTTGGTGGAGGTAAATAGAAATAGCTTAAATGAAAAATAGATATTTTTAGATAATATATCTTGTAGTAACCTCCAAGGTAGGTAGTATATTTCATAAATGGATAAAGAGGTTAAATGAAATAGAAGTAAAATGATTTGCTCAAGATCACACTAGTTAGTTTAATATATATATGCATATAATGTATTTGTTATCATTAGTAAGGAGTGAAAGTTGGACTTAAATGCAATACTCTGACTCTAGTGCTATTTATTTTCAAAACAAATTATTTTTAATTAATAAGCATTAATTTTCTTTCACTTCACCACCTCCCCAGTTGGGGGGGAAGGGTTGTAGTGAATACACATAGTCAAACAAATTTCCATTCTGAAAATGTAGATCTCATTCTTCAACTTGTATCTATCCCCTCTCTTGAGGGAGATGGGGAGCATGCTTCATCATCATCGGTCTTCTGGAAACATTACTGGTCATTGCAATCATCAGAGTTCTTAAGTTTTTCAAAGTTGTATGCCTTTGCATAAACTGTTTTCTTCATTCTGCTCACTCCACTCTGCTTCAGTTTATATATGTATTTCTAGGTTTCTCAGAAACTCTCCATTTTGTCATTTCTTATAACACAATAGTATTCTATTCCATTCATATACTAAAATTTGTTTCCCCAGTTGATGGGCAGCCCCTTAGTTTCCATTTCTTTGCCACTACAAAAAAGAACTGCTGTCTGGATATTTTTCTTCTTTTTCAGATCTATCTAGGGGATTTCAACCTAGTAATGGTATTGCTGGGTCAAAAGCCATGTATGGCTCAGTAACTTTTTGTGTATAGTTCTAAATTGCTTTCCAGAATGGATGGGCCAAAACCATAGCTCAATCAAACACAGGTACATCAATGTTCCTGTTTTCTCAAAGCCTCTTCAATATCTGTCATTTTCTGTTTTTGTCATCCTTATCAATCTGATGGGATTATGTGTGAGGTGGAACCTTACAGTTGCATTTGTATTTATTGAATCACAAGTCATTTGGAGCATTTTTTTTCCATGACTACAATGCTATTTCAGCTATGTCACTATTGTCTCTCGATC